TTATGGAGAACTATGCCAGTGGTGATTTTGGGAGGGTTATCTAGCTGATGATGAAACCTTGAAGATCGTCGGGAAATGAGATATCCGATTAAAGTTGCCAAACCAGACCACTTGGACGCTGAAGGGAGTGAGACATATTCCTAGCCTCAAAAGAAATTTGATTTCTGTAGGACAGCTTGATGGAGAAGGATATAACACAATCTTTTCAGGCTGTGAATGGAAGATTACCAAAGGAGCACTCGTCATTGCCCATGGTAAGAAGACTGATACTCTCTATGTAACCTCAAATTTAGAGAATATCATTGCAGCAGCAGATGCTGATGGAAAATCAAACCTATGGCACCAAAGGTTTAGTCATATGAGCGAGAAAGGGATGAAGACGCTTTTGTCAAAAGGGAAGCCGACAGATCTAAAGAGTGTAGATGTCGGACTATGCGAGGATTGCATCTTTGGCAAACAAAAGAAAGTCATTTTTGCAAAGATTGACAAGACACCCAAGGCAGAAAGGTTAGAGTTGATTCATACTGATGTATGGGGACCATCTCTAGTTCCATCTCTTGCAGGCTCATTATATTATGTCACATTCATCGATGATTTTACAAGGAAAGTGTAGGTTTATTTTCTGAAGAAGAAATCAGAAGTCTTTGATACCTTCAGAAAATGGAAGGCTATGGTGGAAAATGAGACTGGTCTGAAAGTTAAACGGTTGAGGTTTGACAATGGAGGAGAGTACAAAAATTGTAGATTCAGAGATTTCTGCGCAAACAATGGGATCAAGATGGAGACAACAGTTCCCATGACACCGCAGCAGAATGGCATAGCAGAGCGCATGAATAGAACTCTAAATGAACGTGCCAGAAGCATGACGATACCAGAGGAAGTTTGGAGCAAGAAAGAAATAAACCTTTCACACTTAAGAGTGTTTGGTTGTATTTCTTATGTACACATAAATTTTGCTGAAAGAAGTAAACTTGATGACAAGTCCAACAAATGCGTCTTTGTTGGTTATGGTGGTGATGAGTTCGGTTACCGGTTTTGGGACTATGAAAATCGGAAGATAATCAGAAGCAGAGGTGTCATTTTCAATGAGAATATGATGTACAAAGACAGGGCAACCATAGAATCAAGTAGCTCCAATACCAAAGCTGAACAAAGGAATTTGCTGAGTTTGAGGAGATTTCTGGAAATGATGTTCAGATCAGTCCTGAAGTAGTTCAAGAAGAACCAGTCACACCAGAACTAAGACGCTCCTCCAGAATTCCTAAACCAACCCAGCATTATTCGCCTTCTTTGCACTATTTGTTGCTAACTGACAATGGTGAACCAGAGTGCTATGATGAAGCAATGCAGGTGGAGGATTCAGTCAAGTGGGAGTCTTCCATGAAAGATGAGATGGACTCTCTTATATCAAATCAGACATGGGAATTAGTTGAATTCCCATTAGGAAAGAAAGCGCTCCACAACAAGTGGATTTACAGGATCAAAGAAGAGCACGATGGGAGCAAACGCTACAAAGAAATATTGGTTGTCAAAGGCTTTCAGCAAAAAGAAGGTATTGACTATAATGAAATTTTCTCTCCAGTTGTAAAACTGTCTACAATCAGACTGGTGTTGAAAATTGTAGCTGTAGAGAATTTACATCTTGAGCATTTAGATGTAAAGCCAACTTTCCTTCATGGTGATTTGGAGGAAGAAATCTATATGAGGCAGCCAGAAGGCTTCATAAAGGCAGACAAGAAAAACCTGGTATACAAGTTGAAGAAGAGCTTGTATGATTTAAAACAAGCTCCTAAACAGTGGTACAAGAAGTTCGACAACTTCATGAGTAGCAATGGTTTTATCAGATGCCAAGCAGATCATTGTTGCTACATTAAGAGGTTCGATAATAGCTTCATTATTTTATTGTTATACGTTGATGGCATGCTCGTTGCATGCTCAGACATGCAAGAGATTATAAACTTGAAGCAAAAATTGTCGAACCAGTTTGTTATGAAGGATCTGGGCGCTGCAAAGCAGATTCTTGGGATGAGGATTAAGAGAAACACAAAGTCAGGGACTTTGATGTTATCATAGGCTGAGTACATCAACAAAGTATTCTCCAGGTTCAACATGCAAGATGCTAAACCAGTAAGTACACCTTTAGGTGTTCATTTCAGACTTTCCAAAGAACAGTCACCAAAGACGGAGAAAGAACGTGCACACATGGTGAAGGTGTCGTATGCCTCAATAATTGGAAGTCTAATGTATGCCATGGTTTGTACTAGACCAGATATTGCTCATGCAGTGGGAGCTGTTAGTAGGTACATGAATAATCCAGGCAAGGTACACTAGGAAGCAGTCAAATGGATCCTCAGATATCTGCAGGGTACTACAAACAAATCACTTTGTTTCAAAGGTGGAGATACGATACTGACAGGCTATGTAGATGCTGACTTAACCGGAAATGTCGACATCAGAAGAAGCACTACAGGGTATGTCTACCCTAGGAGGAACTGTAGTGAGTTGGGTTTCTCAATTACATAAGATAATTGCTCTCTCCACAACTGAAGCAGAATATGTCGCTGTTACGGAAGCCAGCAAGGAGATGGTTTTGCTCCAAAGTTTCTTGGAAGAGTTAGTCAAGAAACAAGAAAATAATGTCTTGTATTGCGACAGTCAAAGTGCTATGCATCTAGCAAAGAATCCGTCTTTTCATTCCAGAACGAAGCACATACAACTGCGATATCATTTTATCCGGTCTTTTCTGGAAGATGGGATTTTGAAACTTGAAAAGATCAGTGGAGCTCAAAATCCGGCATACATGTTAACAAAGACGGTGACCACGGACAAACTGAAGTTGTGTTCATCTTCAGTTGGCATGCTAGAGTAACAAGACCAGAAATGCTGTTGCATTGATCGAGGTATAAAGACAGATTAAAATCAGTCTTCAAGTGGGAGATTGTTGGAAGTCAAAAGTTGAGACTGTAAATCAAGTCAAATTTGGTGGCTGGAGGCTGGAAATCAAAGCTGGAAATTAAACAAAGGGTGGGCACCGCACAGCCTAATGTTTTTCAACATAAGGGGGTTGAAAATAAGAAAAAAGGGGATCATATTTTCAACAAAGAGGGGCACCGTTCGGTGCCCTAATTTTTTAATTAAATTGTAATAGGGTTAATTACACATTTAGCCACTACACCCTTTAGGGTATTTACAAGATTAGTCCTCAAGCTTCAACTATAAATACCCTAGCCCATTTAGCTTCAAAATCATCCCAAAATCATTTTCTTTCTCCCAATACTAGAGAGTTTTCTTGTGAGTAGTGAGTGTTTTGTAAACACCTGTAATTTTTCTCTCTTAGGAAAAGATCTGTAGCAGTCCTGAGACGTAAGCAAAATTGGTTGAACTCCGTTATCAATTTCGGGTATTTTTTTTCCACTTTTATTTCGCATTCTCACTAATCTGGTTATAGGGAAATTACTCGTACTCTGTTTTTTCCCCAACATTATCTCCATAAGGAGGTAGAACAAAGATAAACAAGAGTGGTGTAATTTCATTAAGATTGCATCCTCTCTTGATCTTAGTTGAGAAGTTTTATAAGGATCATTAGTGCAATCATAAGGTTATCATGCTCATAGACTAACATATTAGGTGGATGCAATGTCGGTCCTGACTATTTTTTGACTCGGGCGAAATTTGAAAATGGACCATTGATTCAAAAGAAAAATAGGAAATATGTACAAAAAATTCAATAAAAATTTTGGAGAGATAATTAAAGAGATTCAATTAGTTTTATAAGACTCGGTCTTGACTTTGGCCAACCTGATTCGCGGTGGCGTGATGGTTGATGTGGAAGCATAGATGTATCGTGGTCATGGATTCGGAGTACGTGGAGAGGGATGGCTTTTTGCTGCGATGTAACCGTTTTGTGGAGGACATTACGGTGGCGACCACCTGAAGGATGGATTAAAGCCAATGTTGAAGTTGCTATCAATACCGGTGACAGTTCGACTGCCGCTGGTGGGGTGTTACGCAACAAAGACGGGGAGTGGATTTTCAGTTTCACCCGAAGTTTTGGTAGGTGCTCGGTTTTATTGGCCGAACTTTGGGTTGTTCATGACATTCTATGGCATGCATGGAGGCTAGGTTTTCGAAGGATGGAAGTCGAAACAGATAATATCGAGGTTGCCTCTATTTTTAATGATATTTTAGATGCTCTTGAGGGCAGAGATGGATCGAGAGGACGGATGGGGCAGTCGTCCCTAAAAATTTAAAATTATCATATATTTTAAAATTTTCTATTTATTTCTTATTGAAAATCTGTTTCGCCACCTGAAATTTTAGTTCACCCCTGAAATTTTAGTTCGCACCCTGAAATTTTAGTTCATTCCCCTTAAGTTTAAGTTCGCACCCACCATAAAATCATGCGTATGTCCCGGCTTGAGAGTAACACGCTTCTTGGTGATAAGAACCTTCGGAATCGGAATTGGGTCACGAGGATGAAACATGTGAGGAGGGAACAGAATAGTGTTGCGGACAAATTGGCGAGGATGAGTCGAGGACTCGCTCTAGAAACCCAAGAATTCACGGTAGCCTCGATGGAAGTGGAGATTCTGCTGCAGAAGGACCTGAGTGCAGCTAGCTAAATGCTGCTGGTTTTGTTGTTTCATCAAAAAAAATATATATAAAAGTTCTATAAAATTCATCTATATATATATATATTGGTATAAATCACAAGTAATTTCTAAGTTTAACGAACCAATGAAAGAAATAATTTCTAACTTTAAAGTTCACATCTCACAATGGCATTGCAGTAATTTCGGATTAGAAACGTGCCCATTCTAGAGAAAGGGGGAAAAGAGTCATAAAGCAACCACCTCTATCAACCATTGTTGAAATCTCAAGTAATTAACTCAAGCTCCCACTCCATTTACCCTTTTCCGATTCACTGAGGATCGGACGTTCCCATTTTTCTCAGCCTTATAACTAAACTGATTTTTTTTTTTAAATGTTGTTGTTTTGAATTCGGGAAGAGAAGCTTAAATATTTTTTTTGGGGATAATTTCAACAAGAAAATTTCTTTGAAAATGGCAGCAGTTCCAGTTGAAGAAGCCATTGCAGCTTTATCGACATTCTCCCTAGAGGTAAATAAGTTTCTTAAACATTATTTCTTCTTTTTGCCTTGATTGGCTTTCATTAATTTGGTTTCAAAGAAATTAATTTAACGTCTAAAATTTTATTTCCAACATGGGTTTTTCGTCCTGTTCTTTTTTTTAGCGAAATTACAATGCATTTTGTTTTTATACATTATATATTTTTTTGAATAATTAAATCTTTGAAGAAAATTCAAAGAAATCAAATTTAACCTCTTAGCAAACAATTAACGGAGAAAATGCATTTTTAAAAATAAAATAAAATACTTTCCCATACTTTTTTTTGGTTAAAATTTGTTTTTGTTAGGATGAGCAACCAGAAATACAAGGACCAGCAGTTTTGGTGTCTACTGAAAGGGGATCAACTATCAGTCCAATTGGTATTTCTCTTTCTGTGTTCCCTTATGATTTTAGGGTAGATTCTTTAGTTAGATTTAAGTTTTAGCTGAAGAATGGATTATATGTTCATTGCGGCACTTGACCTTCAAGTTTTAAAACTTCGATTTGCATGAAATATTGACCTGTGAGACTCTTTATGGAGTTGTAAAGAGGATGGATTCAGAATAGATGCCGTGTTATCAGTAGCATATTGGTTATTTATTGTTGTTATCGTATTGAGGTTGCTTGATTTCTCTTTTATTGCTTTTATTACCTTAGTTGCATTTTCTTAATTTCTTGCACAACTGATGATTTTTGTATACTTTCCCTTTTCCTTTTCAGAATATAGCGATGTTTCTGCTTATCGTTTGTCTCTTACAGAGGACACAAAAGCTCTCAATCAGCTTGTACGTCATTTTTCTGCTCCTCTTTGCTTATCTGCTTAAATACTTATTTTTTTGCCTAAGCTAGTTACAGTCTAAATTTTGTAATGTTTTGTTTCCCCCCCCCCTTTGATCTAGTATCAGGTAAGATGTTGAATGGTTCATCATCAATCAGGATATAGGGAAGGAGTTGTACATTTAATTTGTCAAAATATGTTTTTGAAGGTGTCAAAATATGAGGATATGAAAATAGAGAAGATCTAGGGATGAGAACTCAGATTATAGCTATATAAAAAAGAAAATTTCCAAATGGTATGTAATCACTTTGCTTCAGATTATATACGAGTGAAAACCAATAAGCGCTGAATCAAAACCTGGAGAAACAGAAAGCTTATAGTTATAGAAAAGTAAAACATGTAACTAGGCCTAGAGTAGGACCCTTGCCTATGTGTGGATAATCTTTTTTTTTTATTGGAGTCGAGTTGGAAATACTATCCCCTGAATAATTCTGCAGCTTTTATTTCATAAAAATTCATTTAGTATAGAGAATATGGTTCTTTAGGCTATGTTTGCCAGTAAGATCTAAAAAATTTTGAAGCTCAAATTTACCGGTTGATCATCAAATTTCAAATTCACTGTTTCATGGTTTTAAAATTTGTTTTATTATCAGTGTTCCTAAAGTCAGTAGAATTGATTTTTAATTCTGGGCAATCACAGATTTTTTTAAAAATGTTTTTGACCTATCCCCACTTCGACAGGACATTTACACAAGTTAGCGTTCAGTGGCCAGACACTGATTCTATGAGAGAAGAATTGGATGATTTACAGGTGGGTCTTTGTGGTCTGCTATGATGATTGTTTAGCAACAGTAATCGTTGCTTTCCTTTCACTTGAAATTTTGCTTACTATTTTCATTGTGGTAACTAATTTTTTATTGTTAGTTTTACAGATTTTTTTAAGCACGAGGTGGGCTATTTTATTGAACTTGCATGTGGAGATGTTCCGTGTGAACAAGTATCCTATTCCTGTTTAATACATGCTTGTGGTGATTTTAGTCTCTATTAATGCATCCCCACATGTGGCCTTAAAATGACAATCACAGTGGTTGGCATCTGGGTTGAACCTACCTTGTTTGAAAAATGTTTAGTTTGTTACCAGGTTTTTGAGGAAACTAGTATGCCCTTTTCTATTAAGACCTCGTGTAGAATCCATGTGACATTCTTTTTATTTTTTTCGTTTGCACAACACTTTTTAATGCTTGTTGAGGTCCTTGACTGAATTTAGTGTAGAGGATATCCTTCAGGTTCTTATTGTCTTTGCTGTTGAGTCATTGGAACTGGATTTTGCTCTTCTGTTCCCTGAGCGACACATGCTTCTCCGAGTGTTGCCTGTTCTTGTTGTTATGGCAACGTCATCTGAGAAAGAGAGCGAGTCACTATACAAGAGGGTGAAAATCAATAGACTGATCAATATATTTAAGGTATCGTCTCCGCTGAAGGTCTAAAATGCCATATGGGAAGCAAAATTTGTAGGAATTATAGAGATATGATTTGTTATGATTTGATATCATTCTTTTAATTAAGGGATTTTGTACATATATTTATACAATCCCTTATTTTAAGGTATCACATCCTAGGATTAGTATTTTTTCTTTCTTAAGTGTTTCCTATTTTAGAGAGGTAATTTGTATATAAATATGTAATATGTTCTATTGAAAATAATATAAAAATACAGAGAATTACTCTGATTTCTATATAGTATCAGATTAGGTTACGGTTTCTTTCCAACCTAGATGATGTCCACAACTTCTTCTCCTACTCCGGAGATCACTTCGAATCCAAATTTTTTTTCTGGTTCTGCTACTCAATCAGAAGGTAATCTGGTCATGAAAGAACCAGAAGGTAAATCTCATACTACAATTTTTTTCTCCTCCTAGTCGACCTTTAATTGGATCTTCGATTCTGGTGCTACGGATCATATGAATGCTAATAAGGATTTGTTTTGCAATTTTTTTTCAAATTTTGGTAAAGCTGTCAAAACGGCTGATGGTTCCTTGTGCAAAATAAGACATGACACTGTTATTCTCAATGACCAGATTATACTTAAAAATGTCCTCTTCGTACCAAATCTGCTTGCAATCTCGTTTCTGTTAGTAAACTTTCTATCGACTTGTACTGCTCTGTAATTTTTAATGATATTGATTGTACTTTGCAGGCACTGAACTCGAAGAAGATGATTGGTAAGGTCAGCTTGTAGAATGGTCTCTATATTCTTCCTACCTCTACTAAAACCGAAATCTCGAAATCTTTCACCGCTTTAGAAAAAGTTGATAATGTTATGTTACAACATTATTGTTTAGGTCATCCTAGTTTCCACTATCTTGCAAAAGTTTTTCATGCTTTATTCATTCATAAAAGTCCAAATTCTTTTTCTTGCAAAGTTTGCTCTCTTGCCAAACATATTAAATCAATTTATTCTCCTTCTATATATAAGCCTTCTCACCCTTTTGTTTTGATCCACAATGATATTTGGGGCCTTTCTCGAGTGAAGAATGCTGATAATTGTAAGTGGTTTATCACTTTCATTGATGACCACAGTAGGATAACTTGGACTTATTTGCTAAAAGATAAATATGAAACTGCTGTGTTTTTACCCAATTTTATAACATGGTTCTCACTCAATTTGGGTCTAAAATTCAGCTCTTTAAATCTGATAATGACAGTGAATATTTTGCTAAGTCTTTGGGTGCGTTTTTCAGGGAAAAGAGCATAGTTCAGATTAGTTCTTGTGTTGACACCCCACAACAAAACGACATTGCCGAAAGAAAGACATCTCCTGGAAGTTACCCGTTATCTTCTATTTACCACTAGTGTTCCAAAATATTTGTGGGGGGAAGCCTTATTAACTGCCACATATTTAATCAATCGAATGCCTAGTAAGGTTTTACAATTTCAAACACCTCAATCTATATTTTTACAATACTTTTCCCATTTTAAACATATCTCCTCTATTCTTCCACTTAAAATATTTGGTTGTACTGTTTTCATTCAAAACATTGCTTCTAATAAGTTCAAGTTAGATCATAAATCATTAAAGTGTGTACTGGTTGAGTATTCTTCACTTAAGAAGGGTTATAAATGTTATCATCCTCATTATAAACGATTTTTTACCACTATGGATATAACATTTTATGAGCAGGATTCCTATTTCACTCAGACTGAAATTCAGGGGGAGACATGGAAGGATTTTCAGCCACATCAGGTATCTCCTCTTGTTTTTCATTCTCAACCTTCAGAATTGTCACCGATTTTGTCTTTACCTACAGATTTGTCACCTGTAACTACTCCCATTGATTCATCTGTAGTACCTATCACTAATTCACCCACATCTACTTTAAACACCCTTCCTGAAAACACACCTACTCCCATTCAAAATCTTCCACAAACATCACAAATAAAACAATTTCATGTCTATACAAGGAAAAGCAAACATATTCCTGAGGCTGTTTTGCAATCTGATGCTTGCCGAGAATTGAATTTGGGTCCAGCTGTCGAAATAGAAGAAATCAGTAAGTTCACTTCCCTTACTCTAGATGACTTTCCTATTGTTATTAGAAAATGGGTTAGACAGTGCACCAAGCATCCTATTGAAAAATTTGCTGGTTATAATTCATTGATGTCATCTTTCCAAGCATTTACAACAAACTTGGATAAAGAACAGGTTCCCACAAAGATAACTGAAGCTCTAAAGGATTCAAAATGGAGAAGGGCTATTGAAGAGAAAATTTGTGCATTAGAGAAAAATGCTACTTAGACCGCTACGGACCTTCCTCAAAGAAAAAAAGTTATTGGCTGTAAATGGATCTTTGTTGTAAAGTATAACTCCAATGGTAGTATTCAACGATACAAAGCTAGACTAGTGGCTAGAGGCTTTACGCAAACATATGGGATATATTTCACATAAACTTTTGCACCTGTGGCGAAGCTGAATACTGTTTGAGTACTCCTAAGTTTGGCTGTAAATTGCGATTGGAAATTACACCAACTTGATGTAAAAAACGATTTTCTTAATGGCAAGCTAGAAGAAGAAGTCTATATGAAGTTGCCACCTGACTTAAAGTCTGTTGAAGGAAGTAACAAGGTGTGCAAGCTTAACAAGTCTCTATACGGATTAAAACAATCACCCAGAGCTTGGTTCGAGAGATTCACTAAAGTCATTATGAAAAACGGCTACAAGAAGTCCCTCGCCGATCATACTCTTTTCATTAAGGTAACTTCTACAAATAAGAAAGCTATCCTTATTGTGTACGTGGACGACATAATTCTTACCGGAGATGATGAAGAAGAGATTTGCAATTTGAAGAAGTTGTTAAATGAGGAATTCGAAACCAAGGACTTGGGAAAGCTAAGGTATTTCCTAGGAATGGAAGTAGCAAGGTCAAAAGAAGGACTTGTAATCAACCAAAGAAAATATGTACTTGATTTACTCAAAAAAACTGGTTTTCTTGGTTGTAAGTCGATTGATACACCAATGGAGGCAAGCTTGAAATTTAGCAAAGAAGATGGGCCATTAGTAGACAAAGAGAAATTTCAAAGATTAGTTGGGAAACTAATTTATTTATCCTTGACAAGGCCAAATATAGCCTTTCCCGTAAATGTGATAAGTCAACACATGACTAATCCTACTGAAGAGCATATGGCAGCAACAAATAGAATTCTCAAGTACTTGAAGAAAATTCTAGGACACAGTTTAATGTTTAAGAAGACACAAGACATAACTGTTAAAATTTTTACAGACTCTAGTTGGGTCGGAGACCTTACTGAAAGGAGATCCACTAGTAGCTACTGCACATTTGTTTGGGGTAATCTTACAACTTGGAGAAGTAAGAAACAATATGTCGTTTCAAGAAGTAGTGCTGAAGCTGAATTCAAAGCACTAGCATTGAGAATATACGAAGGAATTTGGCTACTTAAACTACTGAAAGAACTTGGCACTAATCAAGAGAATCACTTTGAAGTCTTGTGTGATAATCAATCTGCTATTCAAATTGCCAAGAACCCAGTTCAACATGATCGGACAAAGCATGTTGAGATTGATAGGCATTTTATAGCTGGTCAAGTTAACAAAAATACAGTCACACTTTTATACATTCCTTCAGAAGAACAAGTTGCAGACATTCTTACTAAGGTTTTGCCAAAGCATGTTTTCAATAAATTCATATTCAAGCTGGGGTTATACAATATATATTCTCTAGCTTGAGGGGGATTGTATGAATTATAGAGATATGATTTGTTATGATTTGATATCATTCCTTTAATTAAGGGATTTTGTACATATATTTATACACCCCTTATTTTAAGGGATCACATCCTAGGATTAGTATTTTTCTTTTCTTAAGTGTTTCCTACTTTAGAGAGATAATTTGTATATAAATATGTAATCTGTCCTATTGAAAATAATATGAAAATACAGAGAATTATTCTGTTTTTTACAAAATTATTTGTTACATCTTTTCTTCTTGAAATATTTTATTAATAAGTTGAGATGATTAAATTAATAGCTTCTATTTCTTGTGTAGAATGATACAATAATTCCTGCATTCCCAACATGGTTTTCAGAACCGGACCGGTTAGCGAACCGGTCATGTTATCGGTTCACTGATTCAATCGGTCGAATCGGTCCGACCGGTCGGAAGAACCGGTCCGACCGGTCGGAAGAACCGGACGACGTCATAATTATTTAAAAAATTAAATAAAAATACCAAAAATATTTAATAAAAAATAATTTTTTATATCACATAAATAATTTTTTATATCATAAGTCATATTCAAAGCAAGTCATAACATATATAAGTTAAAAACCATAAAATCAAGTGAAACAAAATGATTCAAATTGACTACAACATAATATTTAAGGTAAAACATATTAAATAATAAATATAATTATATAACTATAATTAAAAAATAAAGTTGAGGCTAAAAAAATCATAACAAAATTATATTGTTTAATTTATTTATTTTTTAAATAATCTCACATGACTAAGAAAGATAGAAGAGCATCTCAAAAGTCTAAAGAGTAAAAATATGAGAACAAAATAATCCCACATGGCTAAGAAACATAGAAGAGCATCCCAACTAACTTCTATAAATAATAGAGGTAATTTGACATTCAAAATCATGGAGCATTGAGTGAACTATTCTTTCACTTCAACTTGAATTTTAGGCATTAATTGAGCTTCTAAATTTTTTTTGAGTTCAAGCATTTTCGAGTTCAAGTTTCAATATTATATTTCGAGTTCGAGTTGAACTTGATAATTTTTAGCTCGTGAGTTTGAGTCGAGTTGAGCTTACTTTTAAAGTTTTCAAGTTCGAGTCGAGCTCAGCAATACTCGAGTTCGACTTGGCTCGTTTAACAAATGACGTCGTTTGGTTTAATTTAAAAAAAATGGCGGTTTTTCTGGGTTTTAACCGGTTTTTTCCGGTTTTTAGTCGGTCCGATTTGAACGGTTTG